TAAAATTTTTCCTTCTACTGCCTCCCTAAATTCTGCCAGGTTCTACTCAATTCTTGTTATCTCATCATCTCACCCATAAGTTCTTGCTTCTCTGCTCAGTGCTCTTGAATTCAATGAATAGCTGTTTCATTCAGTTATAAACATTCATGGCCAAATATTTAGACCCAGGTTTTATCTACTCTATGGCAATGTTTTTCTGATGAGTGTTTTTAGTTTGCAGTTTTCCTATTTCTTTCCTTTATTTTTCCTCAAAATATTTAGATCCCCTGCTGGCCTTTATGGATGACTTTTTTTTTTTTTAAAGCAGTTAAGGAAGGTTTTTCTGCATCAGTTACTTGCAAAAGTCTTGTTAGAAGGACTGGAATTTCCCTTAATATTCAGAGTTTTATGCATTTGTTTGTTTAGTGTTTACTTCTCTGCATGGCAATAGGCATCTATGCTTTGCCCAACCCCCCACCCTCCGCCCCCCTGTCCCCAGCAAGCACATAATGAAAAGTCCATGGATCCTCTTCCCATAGCTACAAATAAGGATTTAAAACTTTTTCCCTCTGGGCAAAGTCTTTACTTTTGAGGACTGTACCCTGCCAGCACCTTCTGCTATCTAAAGCCAAAGCATCCTATTTCCTCTCCTATACAATCCTGCTTGACGACTGCTTTTTGCAGTCCTGATTATTTAGTGGCTCAGTTTTAGAGCTGTCTCCTGGTTTCCTCTACAAATGGAGTTTGTACTCTTCTTGGTTTCCACAAAAGAGAAAAGGGCAACTTTACACTACTATTTTCATACTGAAAACCAATATAACCTATTTAAATATGAGGTTGAAAGAAAAAAACTCAAATCCTCAGAGAGGTACCAAAGATATTCTTTGAAATTAACATCAACCAGAAGAAAAATATGGGGGACACAAGAAGTGAGCATTAAAGGAAGAAAGAACAGCAAACCAAAGCTAAAATTCTGTATGATATCAACAAGGTGTACAAGGATGTATCAGAGCTAAGTATCTAGTTCCTTAGGCATTGGGAGCTTCATCCTTGGAAAACTGAGCTGGAAAGTCTTTGAGATTCCATCTCCTCCTGGAGAGGTGTTGAGGCTCTAGGCCCTCCGAAGGCACACTTTGTCTTATTTATCTTTAGATGCAGAGTATGTCAGCATGTTGCTCACACAGAGAGCTAATAGCTGTGAATGAGCAGTCACTAGCACAGTCCCTTTGTCACCTGGCTCCTGATCTGCTGAACTTGCTCTCCTCTCCTGATGCACCGTGCTATTCAAATGAACTTTCCCAGACTTAAAGTATCATTGCCTGTTTAAGTGTTTCATATGAATCAATATATATAATTATTATATGCCACGACATTTTCTCAGAATTTGGCCAAGGATACAAAACTACAATTTACATTTTGATAACCTTTCTGGGTATCTGAGGGGTTAAGAGGAGTTGCCTTATTTTTAGTCATCCATTATTAGAAATATCTGACCAAACAGATTTTTAGACTGGTTGAGACATGGAGGGGAGTAGTGACAGTGAGCTGGTGCAAAAATGATTAGCTTTGTGGTGGGGGAAGGGTGGAATGGTGGAATATAGTTCACTGCTCTAAATAGTGAAGACCTACTTATTTAAGTACGAATTTATCAACCTGTTCTAGTTTTTGTCTCATCTTCCACCACTCCATTTCTCCATCCTAAGACAGCAAGTCTATTAGTATTAAATTCCTAAAAAAAAAAAAAAAAAAAGGAGGAAGAGGAAGATTTTCTCACCATCCACTGAGGCTCTGGGTTTGAAAATTATTTTTCCTTTACTCGTTTCTTCTCGCCAAACCTCAAACAAACCACTACCGACCAAGGAAGTCTGTTCTGCTTATTTTGGAGCTGCTGACTTTTAAAATACTTGATTCTGGTCTCCTGTCCAGCTTTTGGCCTACGCTCATAGCCAAGTGCAAAATAATCTGGAAAGGATGGTGGGATGAAAATATGTACCCTGGCTTGTGTTTTCTACTGAGTAGCTGACAACATTCCTTATTACAGATTTGAACAAACGTGTAAGCCTCCTGCTCCAAAGGGACCAAGTTTTCCTCTTGGATAGTTTGCGATTCTTCCACATGTCTCCTTAAGATCTCTGTGGAGAAATGAGCCCACATAGCCTTGGGGTGAGCAGAAGATAGTGCTGGGGTCCTGAGAATGTCAGAACTCACCTTCCTTGAATGCCCCTGTCGATGGCAGAAAACCCATCTACTTTAAAACAAATTTCAATAGGGACTTTTGATGGATTTGGCCGAGTGACAGGTGGAAAAGTTGTTTAATTAGCATTATGCCACATGCTGAACATCCTAAGAATGTTGTGTGCCTCTCATAAAGCAAAAGTATAACCTTGAGCATCTCTTAATACAGTATGTACACACATTTATACACTGACCCATTACATATAATTAGTAGTCATTATCATCTATTTAATGTTTACAGTTCACAAAATATTTCATATTATTTTATTTAATTCTCACAACAAATCCCAGAGGGAATTTCCTATCAGCAGACCATGCTAGTAGAGGGAAAATGACATAGAGCTACATGCTAGTGGCAGATTTGGGGTCCAAAGGGCTCAAGTGGTCAGGAGACAGCTGTCATCAGGGAGACAGCATAATAAAGTTGACTGAAAATCACAATAACTGGTTTAAGGTATTAAGTATGTGGCTTGAAATGTTTTTAATACTGTTTAGTTTCAGTTTCCATATTCCAAATTTTATATTTCTATTCTCTATGGCCTTTAGGAGCATAACTGGCTTTAACAATAAGCCCTCTGAGTTTGTGGTAAATAAGAGCTCCCTAGAGGCAGCTGAGACCACTTACCTGGTCAGAACCTTAGTCTTCAAGGTTAGCATTAAGGAAAAACTAATTTCTGGCTCTTCAAGATCCCACCCTCACTCCCACCCCCACCCTCTTGAGCTGCCCTAATATGATGTCACTCAACACTGAGAATGACAATGTGAATATTCTCTGGAAACTACAGCCCTGATATGATCTGCAGCATAATATGATAGCTGAGAGAGCCAACTCAATCTATACTCATTTTAAAACAACTGTAACAAGATTACAGGAAACGATAATCTAACAGTATTCTACTTGATCAGATCACATCTGGAGTTTATTGCTCATTGCTGGATTTAAATTTTAAGGGAGTTATTAACAAATTGGCAGGCATCAAGAGAGGGCAAGCAGGAGGGTAAGAGTTCTTTAACTGTTGTCATAAGTCAAAGACTTTACGGTGCCCTGCAGTTTTTGAGTACTTTGCCTACACTTATCTCTCCTACAAATTGGTGTCACAAGGCTACTTTGCATTAGACACAGTTAAATATTTAAGAATCTGTGGCTTCTCCACAGCACAAATTGTAGTGTGCACATGTTTGCTAACAAGTGAATTTGGCTTCAGAAGTAACAAGAATAAGGAATAAAAGGTATGGGGGGCTAACATTAGGAACTTAGTAAAGCTATAAACAAGCTGCTTCATGAACTTACCAGTAACAAGAGAAAACAAGTGATGCCCAGATGACTATTTACTAGAAATCTTTTTTATTAAATCATACCTGTGTACATTAATGCATATATTTACCAGAAATTTACTTAAGACCAGAAATGGTTATGTGTCTACTAAATGATAATCACCAAGTGTTAAGGGAGGACTCAAAGGTGAATCAATCTTGGTCTTTGTCCTCAAGAAGAGTTAAGGGTAGGAAAGACTAATATGTAAACTAACTATGCACCAACAGAAGCGTATACAAGGTATAGAAGTGTGACTTTGAAGAATGAATAAAAATCTGTCAGGAAGAGCTTGGGCAAGAGAGCAGTCCAGGCAAAAGGAATCACATGGTGTGCTTAGGATCTTCCAGGAGCAGGGATCACGGGAGAACAGTTTCCTTCTTTGGCTATGATGGGGAGATAGCTTCTAAAGATCTTCCACAAATTCAAATTTTAAATCCTTCAGAATTCTCTAAGATCTTATCTCCAGCAATTCTCTAGGAGGTCTAGCTCAAACCAACTACCTTAAACAAAAGTGTCCAGTTTTCTGTAAGTGGTGTATTAAAACCAGGGAAAAAAAGGGATTCTGCAGTGTGTTATAAGGTATGCTACACAGTCTTGGGATCCACGTGCTTAAGTAATTCTTAGAAGGAAATCTAGAATTAATGTTTGAAAAATGATTAAAAGGGTGTTACCTTGGTACAGAAAAGCAGAAAGTCCAATCTTGTTATAAACAATGTTCTCAGCTAAAGTGTTTGATAAAAAATTGACCCACAAAGACAGAATTACAAAAAAAGCCAAGATTTATAAATTCCATCATGTTCAAATATAAGAAGTACAAAAACAAATAAACATTTCTTATATATTAAAAAAAAACAAATTTCCAGAACTAAAACATATCTATTAACACGTACCAATCTATTTTTAAAGGCCTTAAAACATGCATTCAGTATAAAGATAAACAAAAGTGTCAAAGTTTTAAGAGGCCATTTGTTACCTTAGGATGTATCTATAGATTTCTAATGTTTTTTAAGAGGTGGCGATACTTGCACCTTTTCTCTTAAAAATTTACATAACTCACCAACACCACTAGCCTATATGAGAGCATCTCATATAAAAACATAATGCCATTTAAAAAATCAGCAGTATACTAAAACAGGAAAGAAACTCTAGTTTGAATGTAATAAATTGTATCCAGAGACTCCCTTCTAATTTATCCTTTAAGAACACCAGAGAATCCTTTCAACCTATACCCTTAACCCAGAAGGTACATATTAATAAAACAACTCTAATTGCTAAGTACTACATTAAAACATTAGTTATAATATTTTCCTGGTCATCTAAAACTTTTTTCTTTTAACAATTGTCAATTTTTTAAGATGACTTGTTTTATAAGCTCCACAGTGTTATATATTCCAATAATAAATTTATTATTTTACAATTTATTTCACATATAAAACATTATTTCTTTAAAGAAACTTAAAATATACCTTTGATATAGCCAACTTCTATTCTTAAAAGGAAGAGGCATTCAATCTGTTTTCTTCTGAATTCATTTCTCCAGAAGTCCAGTCCTTAAGGACTTCTGTAGTCTAGCTATGTTGGCGTCCAGTGCAGCTAGGCCATTTCTGAAGTCTTGCTCATCGCGGGAAGTGAAAGTTGAAAAAGAAGAGACGCTCCAATCAGACATCAAGTCAGAATTTAAAGCGCTACCATCAGTGTTGCCTTTCGCCTGAACGCTGTGACTGTGACAAGCTGACAGGCCGTGACATGCAGCCTGCTCCTCTGGATCTTTGGTGGCAGCAGGGATCTTACAAATTACTTCCTTTATTTTCTTGAGGAGCTGTTTGTCCTTCATGTCAGCTGTTCTGGAAAGTTCTTCAGGTCCATTTTCTGCTTCCTTTATTGAAGAAGAACAAACTACAGGTGCACACAGTTTATTTTCTTTTTCAGAGACAAATGCGTTGCTATTCGTCAGCTGTGCTGTAGTCACATTTATCTGGAGTTGAGGGGACATCCTCGTAGAAAGTGGCAATTTTTTTTTAGGAGTACTTCTTGCAAAAGGGATGTAAATAGTATTATCCAGATTGTGCCCATTCTCCATTAAAGTCATAGTTTCACTCCCTTCATCAGAACCCTCTTTTGGAAGGGGAGAAGTAACTCTAGTTGTGGATTCTTCCTCCATGGGCCGAGTGTGGCCAGGCTGAGGAGACCTGGAAGGCAGAGTGTCTTCATAGAGTCTGCCTGGCTCTAAGGTTTCCTCAGTTTTAATTGTAGACAGTGGCTGTGAATGGGTAAAGGTGTGACTTCTTTCTAACTTATTTAGGTAGCTCATGATAGAAGCGTGAGCAGGGATCGGATCATCTTGAAGTTGTTTATCGTAAATGTTCAGAAGTGATTTGGTAAGGTTATTCTTAGGCTTGCAGCAAGCACTGTCCACACTAAGATCTGAGAGAAGCTTTGCCATACTGTTCTGTAAAGTTCTGTCAAGAAGAATTCATTACACTAATTATTTTTTTAACCTATTTCTTTCATTTATATATACTTCTATCTTTAAAAACAAAGATTTGAAGGAAGTGCTGGTTCTTAATATGAAAACAAGCAACTAAAAGCACAAAATCACAGAATATGCTTTAGAAAAATAAAGGCATATAATAAACGACATGAAATTTTATATCAGATCTATTATTTTATCTAACAATAGAGGCTCAGAAATTTTTTGTCTTTTAAGGTATGGAGATGATTTAATCTTGAGGAACACTGCAAACTGAGCCTTACAATGAAAAATAAGCCTCATACAGATAGGCTAAGATACAAAGGAAAATGTAAAATATGCTACTTATTTGCTATGAAATTTTAGAAATTATTTTCCTCTATTCAGCATATATCTGCACTGGAACCATATCAGAAAAAAAACGATGGTTAGATATTATTACCTGGCATAATTAGGTCTAAGCAACAGTTAGGTATAAGAAAAGTATACAAGGAAAATCACACAGAGTTTGAAGTCAGACAAAAATTGAATTAAAGCCTACTACTGCCATTAGCTATGATCTTGAGCAAGCCACTTAACCTTTCTGAATCTCAATTTCTTCTACTATAAATGAAGATAGATACTTAAGAATTACAATGAACCTTAAAATAATAAGCTGTAAGGGTGAAGTATTCAGTGCAATTTCAGCCTAAGTGGGTGTTCATTTGATGAGAGCTTTTATAAGTACCCCCTATTAAAGCCATTTTATACAGAGGCTTTAGTTTATTTAAACTGAATCTTACATATTCTAACAAATCAATGATAAAAAGTTAAGCTTACCAATTTAAGTAAAGATACAAGGGACATCAACAGGTAAGTAACACAAAAATACAACTAGCCAAAAAGCGTGTTTCAAAAGTTCCACTTTTAATCAAGTAATTCAAAATTTGAAAATGTGATTTTTCTGGTTAACAAATTTATAGTTAAAAAAGAATTATACCAGGCCAGGCCTGGTGGCTCACACTTGTAATCTTACCACTCTGGAAGGCCGGGGTAGGTAGACTGCCTAAGCTCAGGATTTTAAGATCAGCCTGAGCAAGAGAGAGACCTCATCTCTAAAAATAGCCAGGCGCTGTGGTGGGTGCCTGCAGTCCTAGCTGCTCAGGAGGCTGATGCAAGAGGCTCTCTCAAGTCCAAAAGTTGAGGTTGCTATGAGCTATGATGTCACAGCAGTCTACCAAGGGTGACAAAGACAGTGAGACTCTATCTTTAAAAAAAAAAGTATCCTACTGACATACTCTAAGAGGCTATATTCAAAGATATATTTACGAATATATTACCTATAATAGAAAATAAGTGGACATAAATATTCAAAAAAAGTAAACTGATTCAGTTAAATTATAGTACAACTGCATCATAGTCACTTACAGTAATGATGTAAAGAATATGTATCAATAGGAAAGTGTTCATTATATAAGATTAAATTAAAAAGAGCAGGCCATAAATAATACAGATAACAACACTCTTTTTAAAAAATGAATAGCCACACACATAAACATAAAAACTAGAAGGAAATATCTGTACTAATGGAAGTGATTATCTCTGGATATAGACTAAATGATTTTTTCCTACTAAAGGAAAAACAAATTTTTTTCCAACCTGGCTTATGTCTGTCATCTTAAACATGCTCTATCTTGACTTCCGATTGCTCTTCAAATGGCAGTGGCTCCTGTCACTACTTATACCTTTCAAGAAGGTAGTGAGAGGAGTAACATCAGCACACTGGTGAAATAAGAATTTCCTAGCTTCAATTCCCATCACAGAAATCTAGCTAGCAACTAGATTCATGAAAGCAGACAAGTATGTCATGAACATCCTAGAACTCAGGAGTGAGGCTGATACACCCTCTTGGACCAAAGAACAGAGAAAACTTGCATTAGAAGGTAAGAGGGACAGTTTTATTCTGACCTCCCTTAAGCTGGCACAGCACCCCACACAAAGGACTGTTCTGGGTCAAAAATTTCTATAGTGGGAGAAGAAAGCTGGAGGTGGACGCTCAGCTTTTCAACCTTTCTGAGATGCTTCACAGGAGGCCAACTTCTATCTTGCCTCCCAGTTTCGACAGAGCTAGACTACCTGGGGTTAGTTTGAAACATAGAAGGGCATAACAACCAGTGCACAGATCACGATGATGGCTCTGCATTCCAGCCAGTGGAGCTGCTCAACCAGGGAGAACAGACAACAGCACCGCTCTGCAGAAAGCATAGTCAACATGGCTGCCAGAGTTGAGTCCCTACCAGCTCCCCCATCCCAGCCTTCAGCAGAGTCTCAATGCTCTGCATAAGGCTTCTATAGGCCTGAAAGCAAGTGAACATCAACCTACATCTGTCGAGCAGAGCATGTGGCCCTGCCCAACCTGTAGTTTTGTATACACCTTCCAAAGGCTGGGAGGCAAAACCACATGTCTGTATATCTACAGAGCAGAGTTTCTGGCCCTGCCTGACACTGCCTATCAAACAGCATTTCTGCCAAGTTTTGGCGCCCAGCCTGAAGTACAGCCCAGGCCCATGCAGCGAAGGCAACTGGCAACTACTCTGGCCCTTCCTTCCCTGAGTAGTTAAGCTTTTCCTCTATGATTTCCTCTAGGAACAGGACAAGGATGCCCACTCTCACCATTTCTTTTCAAAATAGGCGTAAATTTAACCAAAGAGATGAAAGATCTGTACCGCACTGACAAAAAAAATTGAAGAAAATACAAATAAATGAAAAGATGTCTTCTATTCATGATTAGAATATTGTTAAAATGTTCATATTACCCCAAAGTGACCTACAGATCTAACGTAATCCCTATCAAAATTCAAGTTTCATTTTCAAAGAAATAAAAAAAATTCTAAAATTCACATGAAACCACAAAAACACCCCAATAATCAAAGCAATCTTGAGCAAAAAGGACAGAGCTGGAGGTATCACACGCTCAGATTTCAAAATACATTATAAAGCACTTATTAACAAAAAGCACGATACTGGTGTAAAAACAGACAGACTAACTAACAGAAAAGCCAGAAATGTCTCCACACATTTATGGCTGATCGATTTTCAAAAAAGCTGCCAAGAACCCCCAATTGAGAAAAGATAGCCTCTACAAAAAATGATGATGGGAAAACTGGATGTCCACATACAGAAGAATAAAATTGTATCCTTATCTCACAGGCTTACAAAAATCAATTTAAATAAATTAAAGACAAATACAGGAGGTAAAACTGTAAAACTACTAGGAGAAAATATAAGGGAAAGCTCCATGACACTTGTCTGGGCAATGAGTTTTTAAGTATGACACTAAAAGCCCAGGTACCAAAAGCAAAAATAGATAAACAGGATTGGATCAAACTAAAAAGCTTCTGGACAGTAAAGGAAACAATTAACAGAATAAAGAGACGACCCAGGGAGTGAGAGAAAGTATCTGCAAACTGTTTGTTTAATAAAGGATTAATATTCAAAATACATAAGAAACTTACATAACTCAATACCAAGAAAACAATTCAATTAAAAAACTGGCAAAGTATTTTAATAGACATTTCAAAAGAAGACATTCAAATGACTTAACAGGTTCAAGAAAAAAATGCTCAACATCATTAACCATCAGGAAAATGCAAATTAAAACCACATGAGATTATCCCCTCACACCTGTTATAGTAGAATTGCTATTCCCAAAAGGATGAAAGAGACGTGCTGGCAATGATGTGGAGAGGAGGGAAGCCTGGTACATCATCACTGGGAAAGTAAAGCGTATAGCCATTCTGGAAAACAGTATAGAGGCTCCTCAAAAATGTAAAAATAAAACTATCATGAGATCCAGCAATCCCATTTCTGGGTATATATCAAAAGGAACTGAAATCAATATGCTGAAGTTGTACCTGAACTCCCATTTTTATTATGGCATTATTCACAATAGCCAAGACTTGGAATCAACCTAAGTGTCTTCCAATGGATGAATAAAAAATATGTCGCATATGTACATACAGAATACTATTCAGCTTTAAGCACAAAAAGGAGATTCTGTCATTTGCAACAACCTAGATGAACCTGTAGGACATTATGCTAAGTGAGATAAACCGCCATGGAGAGACAAATACTGTATGGTGTTTGTGGAATCTAAAAACATCAAACTTAGGCCAAGTGCTCTGGGAGGCTGAGGTGGGAAGATCACTTGAGGTCAGGAGTTCAAGACCAGCCTAAGCAAGAGTGAGACCCCAACTCTACTAAAAATAGAAAAAAACATTAGCTGGACACCATGGCAGGCGCCTGTAGCCCCAGCATACCATAAAGCTGACCCCTTTTATGTGCACAATTTGATGGGTTTTAGTATATTCATAGTTGCACAACCGTTACCACTATCAAATTTCAGAACATTTTCATCTCCCCTAAAAGAAACTCTACCCATTCGCAGTCACTTCCCATCCCCACCTCCTGGTTTCTTGTAGCCTGTGGCAACTACTCATCTACTTTCTGCTTCTATGGTTTTGCCCATTCTGGACATTTTATGTAAATGGAATCATGCAATATGTGGCCTTTTGCTCCTGACTTCTTTTAGCTTTAATACTCACACTAACAAAGTTCTCACCCAAATATTACACCTCAGAAAAAAGAGGACATATTCCTTTGGAAACCTTAAAAAGGCTTTCATAAGAAGGGACATTCTATTAATTTACTTTCAACAAGACTGTAGAAGCTAATGTTTAGAAACTCTGTCTACAGCCTAATCAGTAATTCCACATGAATACAGGAAATGTCCTTCGCTTTTCCTATTGTTAAATAAAAGTTTGAATGAAGTTCAATGTGGAGGAAAGGCAGCATTTCTATGTAAATAGATTATTAATTTCAAATGTTTATAAAACTAAATAAGTTAAATATTATATATATATTACTCTTTCACCTATTTCCCTACAATTATATAATTCAGGGAGAGTTTATAGCAGAAAATAGATCTGTTCACTGGAAATAGAAGCAAGATTGTTTTATAGTCAAGATTTTTTTTCTATTTTGAACTATAAACTGCCAGGATCATTCAAAGACACAATAGATCTGATGATCTTCAGACCTAAAATAACTTATTCTCCTCTAGGATTTAAAAAAAGTAGCTGAAAATCCATTTCTTAGCAAATGTATCAAAAGAAAATTAAACTTTCTAAGTATACATCACGAAAAAACTGAGTGAGGCAATTTTATTTGTTTCAGGAAAAATGTCTTAGGGAATGAAGAGATCTTAGGAACTTCCTCATTTTACTGAGGAAATGAAGCAAATGAGGCTCACAGAGGCTAAATGACTTACCCAAGATCATGAGGCTTACCAGACTAAGTGCTTTTCATGAATCATTTCTTAGTCCCCAACATGACCCTGTTCACCTCCCCACTTTACAGCTGAGATTGAAAGAAGATAAACAACTTGCTCAAAGTCACTCAACATGGCAAAGCTGAGATTCCAATTCAGGTCTCTCCAGTGTCAGAGCCAGAGATCTTACACTTTGTTAGACAAATCTTCAGCTCCTTATCGGAGCACCCTGTCTGGAACCACAGAGTTTAGAAAAGCGTTTAGCCAGGTTTGGAATTTCTAACCTAACTTAATTGGAACAGAAGAAAATATCATTAGAAATTAGAAGAATCAGAATGACAAAAATAAGAGAAAAATTAGACAAAATAAGAGAAAAAGACAAGGGTAAGAGAGTAGATCTGACATTATTTTAAAGTTTATAAAAGCATCTAATAAAAAAAAAATGCACGGGTTATTCAAAGGAAGCCAATCTTACCTTGTTAATTCTCTTAGCCGAGTCACCTCAGCATCACGTTGACGTAATGTTATTCCCAAAATCTGATTTTCCTTTTCAGCAGTTTCTAACTTAAACTGGGAGCTTTTCATATTGACTAAGGCTTCCTCTAATTCTAAAACAACAAACAAGTTTCAGTTTTCTTCTTCCTTTAAAAAAATGTGACCATAACTACTGTCTAAATACATACCAATTTTTATTTTTGTCATCTCAATGTCAAATTGCTGTTTATTTTCAACTATCGTTTGCTCTTTGTCTTTAAACATATTACTAAATTGTACGCTTTCATTCTTCTGATTTTCAATCACTTTTAAGAGCTCTTCATTTTTACTCTGTAGTAATTCCTGACTCTTCAATGTCTCCTGCAATTGATTTTGCAGGAAGAAGTTCAATGACTGAAGAGAGAACACTGTAAGACAAAACAGATCAAATAGTTGTTTCCTCAATATGAAAAATACGAACTTGGGAAAGACTTTCTACAAATAAGAAAGACCTGGGATTTAACGATTTTGCTTAACAATTATACACATGAGCAGCTCTGTACTATGTAAACACTTCAAATATTTTTAAAAAATAATAAGTCATATCATTCTTCCCCAAATGATATTTTGGGGATTAAGTTTTTTTCTTACCTTTTTAAATAAAGCAAAAATTCAAACACCACAAAATACCAATGATACCAAATAATTCTCAGTGAAGAAATGTCCTTCCCATTCTATCTCCTGTCTTCCCCCAAGGTGATCACTATCAATTTTGGTATCTTTCTGGAAAATACTTTTCCTTATAGAATTTTACATAAATATGCAAAAAATACTATGTGCACAGTTTCAAACTTTGTCTTTTTTTTTTTCAATAAGATTGTTACATATCACTACAGGTATCAATCACATTCTTTTTCATGGCTATAAAAATATAGGGCACCTAGCCAGGGAAACATGTAAGACCCCATCTCTACAAATAAAAATTTAAAAAATTAGCCAGGCATAGTGGTG